TACTACACATTAACTTTTAATAGTGAACGCAGCGGGTGAATCGTTACGAATTAAGTTTGATCGTAAAATTATTCAGACGCTACTTTAACTAGTTTTTTTCGATACTAATTAGATTTGACTTAATAATTCAAGGTAAACGAATATCAGTAAGAATGGACACGCCGAAGAAGACCAAAGAAAGTCATTAGTTAGTAATTTGTTGGGTGTAGAGAAAATTCGATTCGTTCGTCTCCTGCGGATCGGATCTACCTAGTGTTCGAGACATACTAATATCATATGTGTTGACGAATGTTCAGTCTGTTTTTTTTAAGCTTGACCGCGTCGGACGTGCTCTCTGATTTGATCTCTGAATTATATGGCGAATGGAAATCGGAGTTTCCATCCGCGACATACTTTTTAAATGTAAATAAGAATGCCATTTCCTGCAATACTTGCCAATCGTAAGTGCGTTTGCCACTTGCGTGTTCCACGACGAATGTCGGATACGAAGCGAGCTATAAAAATATTGGCATAAATTGATCGATAGCAGTTTGCGTGTTAATTATTAAATACAACATTCACTGGAACTCATCGTCGGAGCTGAGCAGCGTTGTCTTCTCGTGGTAGTTGGTGGCGTGGGAGATAGTGGCGACACGTTGCGGTGGCGGGCGCGGTGCCAACGCAGCACCTTCCTCCGCACCCCGCTTGCCGGTCACTGAACCCGCGCGCATAACTACCGTCAATAAATCAAATGAGTCGCCGGCAGATTAATTCGAATTCTACTATTTTAGAGGACAGCAATTTAAAAGTTTGACACGAAATAACTGACCAAATGCCCTGTGAAATAGGGTGATTAAATGAATGAATGAATGAATGAATACTTTTATTGTACACCATAATTAAACAAAAGGAGAATCGATACAATTTAGTGGTACAATCGGCGGCCTTATCGCTAAAAAGCAAAAAAAGTACGAGTAAATATAAACTTTACCTTTTAAATTGCAGTACTGTAGAGTGCAATATTGTTTTGTGGAGTATCGGCGCTTCATTTGTAAATGCACCTCGGTTTAGACAAAATGCAACATTAATTAACTTGCGAAGTTGTTTACAATAACTTCTTGTTTATTGACTTTTTTTTTGGGTGACTTTATGTTGGGTGGCGCCGTGTATCATTATATAGTGGTTTTATTTAAATAGTGCATGTGCAATGTGTGTAATCCATTAACGTTTTGTGCATTATGACCGAACTTGTGCCAGTATTAGATATATATTATTGATTTCAGTAATATTTAATATAACTTACAGCTGATCTTTTAATACTTGTCAAATCGTAATTGCATGTTATTTATCTCGTATTATATTATATTTATGGATTGACATCAGCCCACAATATCTTTTGATCGTCTTAATTTACCTAAATAAATAACAGAATTGACGGTATATTATAAGCGATAGAATAGATAAGTGTCAGATGTGGTACGTGTATTCTAAATGCTACAGTAAAATGTGTAGTGTTTTTATATCGAAAAATCATATGATGGACACAAATGTTTTTAATTTTACCTAATAGCAGAATCAGTTTAAACAATCACCCAAACTGAGGGCATGCCATCTGAGGTATTATACTAGAGCACCTGAGCCAGGCCAGAGACGTCACTCAACTAGTAATAAAGAGATCACTGATCGTTTGTAGAAAAAGAATATTTTCCCTTACAAACAGCCACATGTCTTCCGTACTCTAGTATAATTACTCTACGGATTACATGAGTTCACACGTGAAAAGCTCGATAAGGAATACAATAACATACTCCATTGATCTTGTACAGCGCCCCTAGCGGCAACCAAATAAACCTTTAAAACTATCGATATCGAATTTTGTCCATGTGAACTCCCACTATACACTCCTAAGTTAAAATTCGACATTATTACAAGGATGAGTTAGGCATAAAAAATCCGTGGTGGGAAATGATAATGTAAGAAGCATGCCAGCAAACGAAATATAAGAAGCATTCATTCCAAAATTCTATTATATTTTACTTACCAACATAATCACATTGTTTGTCCAGTCCATAAATATCACGTTTATGAAATCATTTTCCGCCCTTTACAAAGCCCTTTACCATATCACAATACAGTATAAAACAAAGTCGTTTTCTCTGTCCCTATATCCCTATGTATGCTTAAATCTTTAAAACTACGCAACGGATTTTGATACGTTTTCTTTTCATAGATAGGGTGATTTAAAAGGAAGGTTTTTATGTATAAACCACGCGGGCGAAGCCGCTGGCGGAAAGTATAATATAAACTCTAAGACGTTCGAATTAAGATTGAAATTAAATCGCCCGAGATAAAATTAAAATAAAATTAGAATTTTATATCAATAAATTCTTTATTATCAATGAGAGACCAAGTACAAAATTATTTGACTGTTTCCAGATTTATGTTATTACAACTAATAGGTACAAACAAAATAATTTAAAAGCGTTGGTGGCGTTTAAATCAGTACTAATACGAATTATTGATAACTATATAATACTTAAAGTGCAAAAAAAGAAATTATTTTTTGGTCATAAACAGGTTGTTTGAAGTTAAACGGTATTAATGTTCAGCTAGCGTTAGTTTTATCAGTGTCTAATATGCCATTCTTTGGTGTGCAAATTGGCATAATATTATTTAGATTTAGAATTCATTTAAAATTTACAAAAAATTAACAACCTGACAAATGCCCGTACTATTATAATGATAGAAAAAACTGCGTAAATCTAGCTTTCTTAATACGAAAATGGACTTGTATAAGGGATAATATATAAGATAATGCACAGTGAATTGCTTATTCTGGTGAAAGTCCTTGTGGCTTTACATTTATTAAAAAAAAAAATGACACAGATATTATATGACCGTTGAAAGAATATATATTTATCCATTATAACACTTTATAGTTTCCGCTAATTCATTAGTTTAAGAGACGCTTTAGGTCGCTGACAAACAATAATTAGTGATTACTACGCGGAAACAGTAAAGAGGTATATGAATTTTCTGAACTGTCTATGGTTTATGAACCTATCGTTGCTTTTCAACTCTCACATAATACTTTTGTGTCATTGTCTGTTTTTTCAACTGCTCTAGGAAAAGCGTATAGTTTAAAGAGTACAATACTCAAGGTAGTGACTTTGAATCCATAAATCTAACACTATAAAAATTGATTCAATGTAGTAATAAATTTTGTTGAAGAAAAAGTAATATATTTTATTATTGTTTTGACTATTGTAAATAATACATTTTAGAATAAACCAAGCATTATAATATATATTATACCATACCAAATCTAAGGTAAACTTTACCTACAAACGTAAAAAGAATAATCTACATATCTTATAAGAAAAGTAACATAAAAATATACAAAAAAAAAGAAATAATAAAATCACAGAAAATGAAACTTCAACATATGAACTAAAAGATATTTTTATACTAGATTCAGGTATTTAATCATCAGAGTAATGTGTGCACCTCACGTATGTATAAAAATTTCATTCTTTACCTGTTTCTTTCATAGACAATTTCGTTAATGACACATTTTTAAGTTTCCCAAGAATTACTGAATAAATAAGGCTACTAACAGACGGATTGCACTGTTGCAACCGTACGCAGTCGGATCGGTAACCGCGCGCAGTCATTATTTTCAAATTCATAGTCCTACGTTCGACTTTAGACATAATATCAAACTCATGCGATGGCATTGTTTCGGTTTTCAAGAGGGCTTGTAACAGCCTAACGAAATAATTTTGAAACTTCCTGAGGTCGGTAAGGTTGGCTTGAAGTCAACTTCTCGCAAATGCCACGATGAAATCTGTATGATAGCAGTTTTACAGGTACTGGTTGTATTTAATATAACCTCTTTACATACGCAAGATCCATTCACCACTCCAAACTTTACGTAAATACAAAACGCGATATGGCAATGATTAGTCCGAATTATTTATGTCAAAAACAACGAATGACTCTTGTATATTTTTCACAAATGCTACTTTAACGTCAGGCGTTAAAATGAGGCTAAGATTTCTGTACTGAAGAATAATGTTTCGAAGTAATATCAACGTTATATCTTACTGCATATAGTCTAAAACACTTGAAGCAGTGTTTTTTAACCATAAGTCAAGTTTTTTAATGATTCATATTATGATTTATTCCAGACCAGTTATGACACAACAGTATCTAATCGTTACTCAACAACGGTTAGATTATCTAATCATTGGATATGAGTCACCCTTCAAATTATTCCTCAAATATGTTATAAAACATAAATAAGACTATTTATCATCATCGCTTACTTTCGGACTAGTCAAGTACCCCTATAAAAATAATAAATTACAAAAAATAATAAACTTCCTATTTTCATAATAAACGGCCCCGCAAACTTTTTTTTTTTTGTTATCGATTATTACAAGGCACGACATGGTAGTTATATCCAACTTAATAAGAGAAAATTAAAACATAACATTTTTAATTATCTATATAATGAACTGTTAGGCAACTATTATATAACGATGAAGAGTGAAAGAACTCACTACTAATAAACATATAGTTTTTTGACAAATCTAAATGCCCTCGGTTAAACAAGTTTCTACAAACCTCATCGACATTAGAGAACTTAAATGTACTTTAAGATATACAAATAAAAGAGCCTGAAATATAAATAACGGCAGTGATAAATACCATATATTTCATATTTATTGTTAATTATGTGAGGAATATTATCATACCCTTTCAGAGTTATATTTCATAAATCCATTAAAAGAAAACAAAGTGTCTAACGTATTACAACTTATCATATTTATTCGCGTCAGTTTTAACAGATGTATAACATTTTTATTGTTATTTATTGTTAATAAATCGTAAATGGTCGAATTGTCGATGTTAGTTCAATTTCCATGCTTGGGCGATATGGAAACTTTTTACTGTGTAATAATAAATTGACAAACAGACATCAATGCAGTTCATGCAGAGCACAGCTATGGCAGAGCTTATAGTTTCTCATAAGGCAGTTGAGAAGTGACATCTGAAAGAAAATAAAATAAATAAGATGGGCCTAGCCTACTTCCATGAAAATGTTGAATGACAAACAAAATTTTATCAAACACAATAATGTAAAAAAAAAAGGAAATATAAAGGAACATCTGAAGTTTTATTTTAGAAAAACATGCTGTCAACTAAATGATTTGTAATGGCACATGAAAACCTTTGATATGATAATGATATCATATTAAAACATATTTTTTTATTCAAACGGTATTTAAAATCTGAATTTACTAGCACAGATCAATTAAAAAAGTCAATGACAAACTATTAAAAAAAAACTTTATAAGCTACTCATTTAATTATTCTCAGGCAATCCTACAAAATGTTTAGTTTTCCCTACAAAATATGCAAACAAACAGGGCAGGCAGCTCATGATTCATGCACAACACACAAACTGAATATTCACAAGGGCTAACATTTATACACATTTGTATCTGAACTAAGGGTTGGCATTCAGTATGAGACTCGATGACGATTTTATTCTGTATTGTATCTGGATGATCATGCTATATATATATATATAACACATCAATGAAAAGTACACGTTTAAAAGCTTAAAGCTTTTATTATATTTAATCAATTTCGCATTCTTTCATGAAAAGAATGCGAAGTTTCATTTCATTCATTCATGAAAAATATTCTTAATGAATAAATGCTTAAAAAATCCACTTGGTCCCTGGCACCCTGAGATGGGATTCGAACCCATGACCTTTCGCAATCCGGGTGACTGCTCTAACCACTGAACTAAGGAATTACCCAGGACCTAACAGGACTGACGAATCTTTCAAGCACTTCTTACTTTTTTGCTATTACAGAGCGTATTCTCATCAGTGTACCAATGTATAACACAATACTATACTGAAAAATAAACTTTCGCTAAAGATGAAAATTTGTTAACACAATACTATACTGAAAAATAAACTTTCGCTAAAGATGAAAATTTGTTCTAATTATCATATTTGATCAATTTCGCAATCACAATGCTATACTGAATAGTATTCTTAATGAAAAATGCTTAAAAATAGTAATCAAAGCTGAGTGACATCAAACTATTGCTAAATGTCTGATTGTGATAGACTGCAATAAAATATGAATAAAAATATGAAAATGGAACTAAGAGAATTTTAGAAACTGACAAAATAAATAAAAATATTGATTTTAACGGTATATTTTTTTAAAAATTTGTACCAGTATTATATTATCTAACTAAGTGTATAGTGTGTTTTTGTACTAGAGAGCGAGCTAGAGAGCACCATACTGCAATCTGACCTAATATAATTTTTAATTTCATGTATTTTACCTATAAATGACTCGTGGCGTGGACAATTGGACATATCTAGATGCCTTAGTTTAATTTCCTTTTCTATTTAATATTAACGTGTATAAATTTTAGCAACCGTAAGTGTTTAAAAATATAGCACAAAATATAGCATATCAGAACTCACCAGAGCTGTACTGCGTGTATTGTTGATACTGCGGGTGGAAATTATGAAACGCGTCCGTCATTATGTCCTTGGGATTCATTGTCTCCTGAAATTAAAAAAATACCAATTATTTATACTCATTGGATTCTATAAACTAACCGATTTGGATTTCAATCCCTAAATAAATTGTAAAAGCAACTAACTAAATGTAACCTTTTTATAGTTTGTGACCAAAAACAAATAAAACAGTAATATTGAATTCTTTGCAGTTAGAATAATTCTGAACAATAAAGTTATAACGACAGTTTTTTTTTTACGGTATTGCTACCCTGCACCTTGATTTTCCTGAGTTCCCGATAGAGTATTTAAAAAAAAGGTACATGATAGCAATCTCGTAAGAAAATTCATTCTAATGAAAAGATTAGTTATATTTTATACCACAACTAGCTTTTTGTTATAAATTATAGTCCGTGTATGATGAAACTTTCTGTAGGTGAAAAAATCTTTAAAATCAGTCTTAGTAGATTCGGAGCCTATTCAAAGCAAATAAACAAAATTTCATCAAATGTATAGACGGCTCTTAATCATCAAACTATAAAAAATAAATCGGGTCATCTACCCTAATTGTTGATTTTTTTATTCTTATTATTAAGAATAAAAGAGTAAAACCAATAATTTCATTTGCCATACCTGTCAGACAGGTTATATTCAGAAATTAAATTTTGAAACAATCTTGAGGCGACCCAAATTACGCCAGAGCGCTTAGTGTAAGTTTTTTTGACGTTTACGTTCACTGTCGATCGTGAGCGCGTTAAGCTAGCCTATACTAATACTATAAGAGGAGAGATATCATAGTTTGTTTTTTTTTATTTATTTATAATTAAATACATTAACTATAGTTTGCATTGAATGGGCTCCGAAACTACTGAGCTACTTAAAAAAATCTTTCTTTTACTAGTAGCTACGTCATACAGGGTTGACATAGGCTATTTACGCAAGTGAAATTGTTTGAAACCAGCTAGTGTTAGTTAAACATCTAACCTTATATCTAACCTAACCTTGAGGCTGGCGAAACTATTAAAAATTATTTCATTTACTGGTAACCACGTCATACAGGGTTGACAAAAATATCTAACCTTGAGGCTGCTGGATATCGACTGCATAGTGACGGAGCGATGCGGGTCGCGGTGGGCGTGCGCGTACACGTGCGCGGGGAACGCGTACCGGAGCGCCACCGCCGCCGCCAACATCTCGATACAGATCAGGAAGTTCTGGTAGCCCGCGGACACGGTACCGGCGGTCGTCGGCACGCCGTTACCGTCCAATATGGGCGATATCACGTCCGCCTTCTCCAATATCGCGAGGGCGACGCCTGGGGGCAAAAGGGTATTCGACTAACTTTGATAAAATAGTTTTACGTGTAAACCATCCTGGGTTCAAAACGGAAAATTTTAACGCATGGCAAAACCAGAAGGAAAGGAATCAAACCAAAACAAATATTCTTAATTATAGACACTGTTATTCATTAAAAATCGACGAAATCGTTGTTACATAGTAGTACAAAGGCGGACTTATACAGTTTATAAAGTATTGTCAATATTCTTCTTTTAATTATCATTAAAATATGACTAACCTTGCCAAAACGAGAGGAAAATGACAGATTTAACGGTGAAAAACTTCAGTACGGGATCGAACGGTTTGAGCATCTCGCGCGTGGCGCCCAAGAAGAGGAAGAGGCCGTAGAGTGCGAGCGAGACAGAGAAGTTGTAGACGATCGTAATGTAGATGTAACCACCGTTGGGACTCCAGTCGCCGTCGTGATAATGCCCTGCGGACTGAAAATAAAATTATTAATTACTAGAAAAAGAAAGTTACTATTATTACCTACTTTTGCATTTGGATATCCTTTTGCAGACAGACACCGAGTTTATCTGATAAAGATATTATAGATAGAGCGAGAAAACGTGAGCTTAAGCTCTCTCTGGGTTAAAAAGAGAAAGAACATCCCTTTATCTCTCTATTTTTCCTCTCCACTGCGCAGTAAGCGCGGAAATATTGAAAAACATTGAAAAAAGTTTTATACCGACTATAAAAGCATTATTCCTGAAAATCATTACAAGTTTACACTATGCTTTTAATAATTATGTCTTTTGTAATTAATTCATAATATAAGTCGTTTCATAATAAAACGTCAAGCAGATTTATAATCGTACTTACTTTCTCTTTTGATAGTGGTTATATTTAAAAATAAAAAACTCAAAATTGACCAACATTCATAATGACACTCAAACAATTCTCTTAATTTCATCTTTTATGACGTCATAAATGCAAACAAAGGTGCGATTCAACAAAAGGTGATTTGTATCGCTCATGACGTCACGTTTGCATTTGCGTGCGATAAGCGTTTGTGTATAAAATCTTTGCGAACAATTTAGGAATAAATCAATAAATAAAAAAATAAAAAAAAAAATCATTAAATTACCTAAAATCGATTATTTTTAAGTTGTTTGTCAACTTAAGTGTATCATACATACCATGGCCGTAATAGGAAGATGCCAATCGGAAAACAGATTAGCTAGTCTCATAATTTTCTGTATAAAGAATACGTTTTTATGAACGGGTATTATATTGGGGCATAACAAGCGGTTATCCATAGTCGACAGTATCATGTTTTCGTGTTTGGTATAGTGTCATAGTATGGCACGATGTAATAGAAAGTGTTTATTTTATGTAAATTAATCTATTATATAGATATTAGTCTTAAATCATTGACAACAAAGTTCAAAATGGATAACGAAAATACATCATTTTTTAAGTAAAGAAAATAAAATTGTTTAGTTTTCACAAACCACATATAAAAATACAACTCTTAAAAAGGCACTGCTATTAATATATTTGTATAATACAATATATTGCAAGCAACCCATTGACTCATACAAAGTGATTAGATAAAATCAGTTCCCTAATAATATGTGCTAATTATGTTGATATCTAATGCCGAATTAAATATTTTCAAATCAAATCTTATCGCAATTTATGATAATATGCTCCTATCCTCCGCGATAGGAGCATATTGTCATAAATATCATTAACCAAGAAGTAGAGTGAATGAAGTATGAATAATAATGAAAGACATGCGGACTAGACATGAAAAACAAAGCGTAACACTATTTGTTTATTAATACCATTTATTCTTGAGATCTCAATTAACTATCTGCAATTTAGATACTATGTTTTTACTACTATGTGTTTACCCAACATTACAGTATTTTACCCGCAAAATGGAAAACTACTCTGCGAATCTTCAAATGTGAGTAAGGGACAGCTGACCATAATGAGGAATATTATGTAAAACTCGGCATAGATGGCAGCACTAGCAAATGTAGTAAACAAACAAACTTTCGATTAATTAGTGATTTCTTTCCTTTTTCCATCCATTATACAGAAATGTAGAAATAATGGATAAAATTACACTGTAATATTAAATTCCTAATATGCTCACTCCTATTACTTTGGGGCCATCCGTAAATTACATCACACGTTAGGGGGGGGGGGGGGGGGGGGTCAACGAACTGTGACATTAGAACAATATTTAGTAGAATTTGTATACACAAACATGTGCCATGAGGGGGGGGGGTGTTTAAAAAATCATGAATTTTGTGTGACGTAATTTATGGACGGCCCCTTTACTCTTTGCTAACTACTTTGTGGATGACGTTTAACGTTTATACAAAAACTTTATACAACATGTGCTACTGCTGCAATATGGTGACAAGACAGTTGCAGTTTTGAGTACAAATATTGAGTTATATTAAAACTTGTATATTAACAGTTGTTATCTAGTAGATGCGATTAATACATAAACATTCATTAGATGATTCAATTTTTTCCAACCATGTATAATCTTATAAAGTTCACAGAGTCAGATAGTAATAGATATGATATATTTCTCACCTGTAGAAATATAATGATAAAGGCGCACAATGGCTTCACGAGGCAGAACTGCAACGTGGCTTGTTTACAGAATCGCAGAAAACCTATAGTGTAGGTGGCACCAGAGAGGCAACATGTGCCGTTCATACAGGACGCGCGTACCGGCCGTCCACGCAATTCGGACATAATGTTACCCTCACCGCCGAGGTACTCGTAACATAGGGACAGGAAGCTGTAGATCACGAATGCTGTGGAAAGAAACGAGCATAGTTTAAAACAATAGTAATGAAAGTCAATTCATTCGTCATTTGTTATGCGAGACTACAATGTTGGGGGGCCATTCATTTATTACGAAGACTATTTTCGCTAGTTTTTGACCCCTCCCCCCCCTATTATAAGAAAAAATAAGAAAAGGCCGACCCCCTCCCCCCCTGTTTAATATTTATGACGTAAGAATCTGAAAGAAAAGATTATACTGGTTTTGAGTTGTTTTAATGTTTATTTTAAAAATTAATTTTTAGAAATCTTTTTCTGTACTTACAAAGGTACTAATAATTTTAATTTATTGGTTGTTTAAAAAAAAACTTAAGTTTCATAAATCTTTCATAAAATTTTCAGGCCAGGTACTCAAAACCCACTTGGAAAATGCATCTGCCACTGGAACATCTCTAATAAAAGGTGTTGCTTCTAATTGGTCATTCAGGATATTTACGTCGTTGACGTCCACCCATTCCACATCAATCCCATTTGCTGATCTTACGTAAGAACTATCGAGACTCCCTCCTACACCCTTGTAAGAAAAACTAAGTCATTTTTGACCCCCCTCCCCCCTAAATCGTCTTACGTTATAAATGAATAGCCCCTTGGGAGTTTCGATGAATTCACGAAACATCAAAAGGATTAATGGCCAATTACGTGATCAAATAAAAATATGCAACATGAAAAAGACGCTCGTTACTGATTTTTTAATGTATGCAATATATGCATAAGTTTATACTGCCGTGTAAGTTTCAGACTTTCATCAGTGTTGTTGCTCAAATAGATTGTACAAATATTTTTAAAAATGGAATAAAAAATCGAGCGTAATAAATCTCAATACTACCGAATACTAGTGATGATGATAGTAACGATAATATATAATTTTACGATCACGTGGCATATAAATAAATACAATGTAGTTTCATAAAAAACTTTATAATTTTCTGTCTCAATTATAAATAAAATAGTATCATAATTTAGTCTACTTTATCGATGTCAAATTTAAAATAACAGTAAAGACTACATTAGTATCGCAAAAATATCGATGGAAAGTCACCATTCAACAACACTAAACAAGTACCTTGTTATAACAATTTAATATGTCATTACATCATTTCCATGTAGTAAAAGCTAAGGTCGTACAGCTCAGAATATAAGAATTTAAACTCTTGTTTTTTTTCTTTCAAATCGTCAATTCTTTCACCCGGATGCCCAAAGTTAAATCTCGATAATTTTGTCGAGTCGAATTGAGGCCAGCAACATCTTTAGAAAACAAACCTTGAGATTGGCCTGCAGTTTCGCAAATAAGACAAGTTAGGTAACATAATAATACACAAGATCTACTTAAAATAAAACTTGCTTGGTGTATAAATTAATTATGTATTTTTTTACCTCTTATTTACATTATAAAACCTTTACATTTTATCATTTATTTTTAGTTAACCGAATCAGTTTGTTAATAATTTTAGCGATTGGCGTTGAAATAAAATAAAGCGAGAAATGAAAAATAATCGGAATTATTAAACTATTATTTGCAATCACACAAGCCTTATCAGCAAAACATCGATAAACTGTTTTTATTACGTGGAATATGTCATAGTATAAATATGCCGACAATCCAGGGATTCATAATCTTCACATTTAAGAACAGTTACAATTCTAAAAGAGCACTATTAAAAATAAGTTGCATATTATGGTCTTCCTGTAAGATAGTAAATAAAGTTTATTCCTTAGAATCTGCAGACAAAATATGTTTAGCTTTAGTAAAATAACGTAAAGAAAATGCAACATTTTTAGGAATTTTAATGAACGACGAAAACGCCCTGTAATTATTTGTCATCGCAACCAATAACAGGTTCTGTTAACCTGCATATGACGTCATACGTAACAAATTTGGCTATTTAAATTTTAACAATTATTTTCAGCGAAAATAAATCAGAAATATATTGACAGCCTGTTTATAATGTATCAAACAACGATTTAAAATAGTTTTCAGAAAAGCGTCAAATAGCCTATTGTAGGGGATAATTTTACTCTTAATGCATATTTGCATCGTAATCTTCCTCATGACACATCGTATATTTTTTAGACTGTTATACAAATATATTTGGATAAAAAAACGTAAATAATATTTTCAAGCTCATTAAGTTAATATTAAAGTACTTATAATCAAGATTTTCTATAACAGTAATTGACTTAAAAAGCTTGTAGCGCGTAAAAATATATGCGTTTCCTCGTCTCCAAACAAGTCTCTACGACCAGCGGTTTAGGCTGTGCGTTGTCTGTCAATCGGTAATATGTCAGGACATCTCCTTTTAAATATGTATAGATAATTTCTTGTGGCTACTAACTTTAGTTTTCGTTTCATCACGCGCATACATAACCAGTGCCGTGTACAAACACCATTAGTAACACCGACGACCACCAGCCAGTGTTGCTATCTCTGAAATCTAGGAATTGATTCCCAGTCGGGCAACATAGAGAATGAACTTAGCTATATTGTATCTGGTCTGGAAGTTATGGTACTTTCGTAATCTCAAATACTCCATATTACGAGGGCTTTTATCTACTCAGCTTGAAATCTGAGCAATGTAAGTGATGTTGTTATAATATTTACCTTCATAACAGTCCCTGACGGTGAAGAAGTATACGTAGTACGAATCGTTGTTGAAGAACAACAACGAGATCCAGCTGTAACAGCCGTATATCGGCACGATGAATAGAATGCGCACGATCCATCGTTGCTCCGAGGGGTTCGTATACCAGCGCAAGTGTTGGTAGATCTGCAATGAAACCTTTGTATCACAAAAAGAGCCATATATCACTAAATTTTAGATTAAACAAGTACATACATTCTGTGATTCACAATCATTACTTGATGAAATTTTTGGAGATCTTATCATTAACAGTATCAAATCCTAGAATTAAAAAAAAACAATAACACTCGTCTTATCAATAGTCTAGCTAGAGACGTAATATGTTATTTATAACTTAAGTAGAAATTTTTACCAGATAAACAACACCTAAAATGAAATAGAAACTGTTAATAGTTAGAATACTATATTTTTAACAGTTTTTACTTCAATAACATTTCTGTCTATTTTGGTTAAAAATATTTGCTTACATTATGACATTTTCTTAAGTAATTACTTCTCTCGACTACAGATCAAGTGTACCCCGTGTGTTCATAAGTTTTGAGACAAACTTTTTACTGATAAAATAAAATGTTACTGGTTGTTATTTTTTTTTATAGATTTTGAATTTGTAATGTTAAGTTTTAGTTTATTTGCATCGCAAATTCATTTGATTATATTTTCTCGTGATGAAGGGTACGAAACAATTACGTGCAACTATCATTTCGCTATTTAAGGCGGGAAAAAAACCGATGAAGATTTTCTGCGAGCTGAAAAGTTTTCCTGTAAGCCGTAACGTCGTCTATTACACAATACAACGGTAACTACAAACAGACAAGTTCTCTGCAAGATCGCCAAAGAAGTGGTCAGCCACGCTCTGTGAGGTGCCTGCGAACATCAAAATCATCTGAGAGCGACTTCGCCGAAATACATGTCGCACTCAGAAGTAACTCGCTGTGCAGACTAATATTTCGAGCGTTTCAATGAACAGAATACTGAAATATGATCTTAAGGTAAAGGCCTATAGCAGTTCAACTTATTAAACGATCGTCTTTGTAAGTTACCACGCGAACGTTGTCCATTGCTGCTGAGGAGACATGATGCCAGGAAGATAGTCTTTACCGACGACAAAATTTTCACTGACGAAGAAAAGTTTAACCAACAAAAGAATAAAGTGTACGCTAAAAGTAGCAACGAAGTCCCAGCTCCTGCACGAAATGTCACGCACACTTATCATCCGGCTAGTGTGAAGGTACGGTGGGGAGTCACGTATGAAGGTGTCACTCCGCTCCATTTCTGCCAAGAAGGTGTCAAAGTGAAAGTCAAGAATTATCAGCTACATTTTAGAGCTAGTGGTGAAACCCCTGTCTGATACGTTATTTCATAATAAGGATTGGGTTTTTCAGCAAGACTCAGCGCCATCCCATAAGGCAAAAAGCACCCAAGCTTGGTTGAGGGAGAATGTGTCGGCCTTCTCACCTCCAGCCCCGACCTAAACCCGCTGGATTATTCTTTATGGACTGAATTAGAGCTCAGGGCCTGCAGTAAGTCCCACTCAAACTTGGAGTCACTGAAGCGGAGCCTTGTTCAAGAAGCAAAGCGAATTCCACTAGAAAAGATTCGTGACGCCATTGATGACTGGTCAAAACGTCTAAAGGCCTGTATTAAAAACAAGGGCGGTTATTTTGAATGAAATATATATTTCATTGATAATTATATTCTATCTAATGGTAACTGAAAATTTTAGAAATATAAGTTAATTATTAAAAAAGTTACGCAACTTATGTGTGACACACACAACACACGAGGAAAATATTTATTAGTAACTTCATTTAGATTTCTAACATTTATACAACATCGTTACAACTAACTTCAGGGTAATAAATATTCATAAGTGTTATTATTTAACGTTAATGTTAATCAGGCATAAGACTGAACAAATATTTTGGGTAACTGGTTATGTCTTTATCACTTTGTATGTTTTAAAATGTACAACAAAGACTTCCCAAGCAACAGAACTAACACATAAATAATACAAAGTTCTAAATTTGCTAATGAAAAGTATAATTAAATGTTAATTTTAATATTAGATTGATATATGTAATTATAAACCCAATTAACTTTAGTACCAGGTTTTAAACATTAACCAACAAAAATAAGTCAACACGTCTCAATTTAACGTATTTCTTCTATCATTATAAATTTGCTTTAGATGGCCAATTGTCAAGTAATAACTTTAGTGCTCATTTTAAAATAAGTCGGATTATGTTTTTGACACTACACCCGGTTAAATAGCATGATTTAATAAATGTTGATGTAACTGTTAACGGGTCAACACCCAGTGGCACAAACGTCAATTAAAATTTTCATTAGTTTAAAGTACATTACCCATACAATTTTAACATTAATTTGATCTTAAAGCCGTCATTAAACCTTAATGATCGTTTGTGCAATTGAACGTTAGTCTTGTAAACGTGACGAACTAAATAAGCATTACACCATTTTCTACCAATAACGTTTTTGATGACGGTGAGATAGTATTATTGTTATCACAATATCTAATTAGGTCCATTATACAAATACATTTTATTTACTGCTTAAATCAAATCGCAAAAAACAATTGGGAAATAATGTAAATATATCGAAAAGCTATGGCATCACTTCAATTTACGGTAATAAGATCAAATTGTTTCTTTTAAGTTAATGTTTTATAATATATATTAATGTTTCTTATATTTAAGAATAATCGGTAAGTTCTCTCCATTTTATTTAATACTCAAAATAAGAAAAATCTCTTGACATTTAACTCTATTATTAAACTATTGAAGACACTTTCCATTACAATAATATAAAAGCATACATGACTCATCTGTCAAAAGAAAAATATTAGAATACGAATAAAAAGCTAATAAGGTGGACTACAAAGTTCAAAATGAGATAAACAAATGAAGATAAGCTAGGATATGTAAACATATTTACATAAACCCTATCAATTGAAAATATAAACAAAGACACTTTCTGTACACACAAATGCATTGGAGAAGTGCAATAAAATGAATACCGTATCGTTATATGAAATCCGGAATTACCTAACAGTCACTTATCGAAGTCCCTTTTAACGTTGGTATTTTAGACTGTTATAAAGTGACTAATTCGCGTGAATATTTTCAATTATCATAGTAAGTATAAATAATCTCTTTACTTCTCTTTGACAAACATAAACTCTTAACTTTGTAAGTCAACAATACGATATAAACTGAATTATTATCAGTTTAAGGTGGTTTAAAGGATAAATAAATAAATATAAAATAAATATTACACAACTGAAATACCATCGCTCCAAATTTAATGAAAAAGCTATTGCTTTGCGTAAATTTTAATGAAACAATTATCATTCTGACCCAGAAAAATTGGGTTTTCTTCGTTAATCTGATAAGAAAGCGAAACGCGACCTCGTAATCGAGAAGCCAAACACAATACTCTATTTACGATCGCCAAAAAAACATTTGTTAGATTTACAAAATCTCGGTAACTAATGAAGAGCTAGTTAAAAATCCTTGACGGTCGGACACATAAACACCAAAGAAACCGAGCTTCACGTAATCAAGACTTCATTAATATGTAAGTCTAAAAAGAAGTTTCCTTCTGTCTCGGGATGCACGTACTCACTGAAGCACTTACCGAAGAGGGATATTCATTATTGAAGAGTTGAGACGGCAAACTCCTATTAGGTAGGCACTCTACACGACCCTTTCATTATGCATGTATGAATTTTCAAGGGCCTGTACGTGATGACGATGTTAAAACTAGCAGATACTAAAATATCATCAATAGGGGTGCAGACAACTTTTCTATAATTTTTATTTAATAGATATACATGTAATATAATACATCTGAATTCATCATTCATCCATCACATCATATAATAAGTTAAAATGTAAAAAAAAAGAGAATCTACTTCTAACTTAAAAAAGTGAAAATAATACTTATCTCAAAAGCGACTTATTCAAGAAAATACTATTAAAGACTGGCCAAAGTTATTAATTAAATGATAGGCACCGAAATTCAATAGCGTTTTCTTGAATAAGTCGCTTTTGAGATAAGTATGATTTTCGTTTTTTTTTTAGGTTTGAAGTCGGTTCTATTTTTTTTGTTTTTATTTCATGCTTTTAAGTGATATTTATTTTTTATATAAAAAATAAGGTAACACTAAAAATATTTCTCTGAAAACCTCATTAAAATCAGTTCAGTCAAACGCGAGATAATCGCGCACAAACATACATACATACAAGTCAAACTGAGATCCTCCCTTTTTAAGTCGGTTAATAAATTTAATTTTCAAATTTTTGCTATTTGCGGTCACGTGACAACCAGCATATATAATATTGTTTTTTTCATAATTAATTTAATCAATATTATAAATATAATAATAAGCATAAAAGTGTGATTATCAGTATTAGAGTATATCAAAACACTACGCAAAAATATACCTACCATAGATTTACTATGACATATCTATACCTAAAAGAAAATCTAATTTCTTGATTAGAACTTTTATGACTACCTTAGCATTATTAAGTTAACTGTCATAGTACCTTATAGTATACATATATAATTAAGACTATAAAAAGATATTATCTGTAGGTAGGTACATAATTGTTTTAAAATATGTAATTTCAAATAATCAATTCTTAAAGTTACCGGGCACAATAAATGGTATTAGAAAATTATATTACCAGGTAAAGAAAGAAAATAAAAAGAATACTATGTAAAATTGTAAACAGTATAATTAGGTAGTGTAGTGGCGTTGCTATAATAATTACCAGGCTAAAATCGCGGCAGAGTACTTTCACTTATTGCTGTAAAACCTACTGATTTATCTTCACAGTTTAAAAGGCGAATATATTTTGCGGGTAATTTACTGTGTATTGGAAATATAATGGGCCAATAAAATTTGGGTTTCGCCGTGAGATGTAATTGTAGTGTTCGAAATATTATGTCTGTACCGCACTTCAATTAAGTAATTATAAAATAGGTACTTTATTAATTAGTTATCCACTCTTTTTGATATTTACCAAATAGAATAAGAACATTCTAATACTAAGTTTAAATGATCAATAGAATGTAATTTTCTAAATGTTTTTAACACG